ATATTTAGGTTACTTTTCAAATAGAAACACTTTTTATTTGCAATTATTAATTTAATTATTAATTATTATCATACTTTTGTTCAACATATTTTTCTGACTGTTGTTTATTGATTCTCGTAAGGAAGTGTCAATTGCATAATCAATCAAATCAATGCTTGGTAATTTTTTCCTTTTTTCAGAGTGTGGTTTGGTAATTATTTATTTTTCATCCACAAAACTGTAATGTCCCATTTTATTCGATAAAAAATAAGTCACAAAAAAGAGTATGGTCATTTTTTATGACCATATTTTAAGTTAATGTTTACATAAAATTATTAAAAAAAGTCTAATCTGAATAAATCTAATAAATATTTTGAGTATAACAAAATTTAATAAATTATACTATTTAAAGGTGTGGAAAAATATTCCCATATAGTCAATCTAACAACGTTATCTGCTCAGAAACTTTATCTGGTACCTTTTGGACCAAACCAGGTGGATAATTGCGGGAAAACATTATAAAAAACCCAACCCATTGTTCCAATTTTTTTCATATATTTTTGTGTTTTTACCCGATTCCCATTTTTTTGTACAAAAATACAGCCATTTTTTTTGACCAGATAAAGTTTCCAAAAAGATAATGTTGTTAGACTGAATCTATGGGAATAATTTGTTTTACAAATTATTCTCCATACCGTAGTTAATAAATCATAAACAAATCATTTCTAATTCACAATATTATTAAAAAGATTTAACAAGTTGTAATATAAGAGAAGCATTTGTGGTCTAAGGGCAGAATTCCACCCTTCCAAGGTGGAGATCCGGGTTCGAGTCCCGGCAAATGCATTTTTAATATAATAATGCTATACCTTTATTAATTGTTTTAATTTTTACTGTTTATTTGATTTATGATAAAATTGTTGTTTCCTTCAAAAATATTGAATTTTTGAATAGTCAAAGTAATTGAAACTTTAATGGAAAAACGTATTTATCTCTTTTCCAATGTTTATGGTAATAAAGGAAAAAAGAGAAAGTAATAAAGAAACATTATCAATTTGTAATATAATCAAAAGAACAAATGCTAAATATCAATAATATATTTGATACATTTATAATTATTAGAAACATTATTGATGAAAAAAATAAACAATTTACATAAATTTTATTGACGTCAAAAATCTAATATTTAAACGCGAATTAAATAACCAAAACATATGTTTAAAAAAATCAAACATAAAGGAACGATTTATGCCTTTATGAATTTAAAACGTATAATACAGACAATCTAAGTAGAAGATGAATCGAAATGTTTGTCAACAATTTGAATTAAATGAAAACAGAAACAAGAAAGTAAAATTCGTTGAATATCATTTGTGAAGAAGAAAATAAAAGGTATTGAAATTGTAAAAAATATCATAAAATGAAAGAGAATTTAGATATTATCAAAGTACAAAAAATAAGTATTTAAAAAATGATATATAATAAGATCAAATTAAAAAAAATATAAAAAAATGGAATTTAATAAAAAAATAATTAAATGAAAATTAATATAAAGCATTGTTCAAAAGAGTTGTGGTTATTTAGAAGCATTGTTCAAAATAGTGGTTAACATCATGAAGATACTATTTAAACAATCTTTATTATTTTTTAACAATGATATTTTTTCAATTTATTTATTACGTTGTTTATATATGTGATTACTTTCAAACAAATATTAAATGTTAGTTTATTTTTTTTATTTAAGTATTGTTTTTTTTTGAAAAATAATGACATTTTTATCCTTCTTGTAATTGTATATATTTTGTCATACTTTTGTTAATACAATAGTAATAACAATAATGATTTTGTGTTTGAATATTTTAAAACACATTTTTATGGATTTATTATTTTTTGTTAAAACTTGTAAACATATTATTAATTTTGTTTGTAAATAACATTTATACTCTTTTTAATATACTTTGTTATTTTTTTAATACGAGAAAAAGAAAATCATTTTTCGTAACGTTGTCGTTATAAAATGAATTATTATCTTAAAAAGCATAGAAAAGTGGTGAAGTGTACACAATAATTTCAAGATAATTTGAGTTCTGTTCTATAATAAAAAAAACGAATTTTGCTGATTATTTTTTAATTCTTAGAAGACCAAAAAATTGTTATTTTTTGTATTTTTTAAAAATTACAATTTTTATTTTTGAGAAAAATCCGAAATTTCTAAAATATTGAAAAATAAACAGAGTTTTTTAGGTAAAATATAACAAAATAGATGTTAATGTGTAAAAAAATATGACGTCAAAATATTTAATCTTTTTAAATAAACTTTGAATTATTGTAAATATTTTGGAAATATAAAAATATTATTAATAATTAATAAAAAAATATTTAAAAAATAATTTTAATATAATATATAATTTCGAGTAAGACGTTATTATAAGCTCATCATAGTCAGTCAAATTATTGAAGTCTTTTTTAATCAATTTCATTTTTCAGTTATGTTATATTACTTTTTGTAATTAATTTATATTTATTTGGGTTATATAATATTTAGTTCATATATTTTTTGTTAACTTATTATGAAAATAATAAATATTAAAATTATTTTTCAAAATATTTTTATTCATTTCAATAAATAATAATTTTATAATTAATAATTATAATATTATAATCTTAGTGTTATTTCAACCATTTTTTAAATATCTATATTTATATTCATTTTTAATGAAAAAATAAAAACCAATAACAATACGTTTATTTTAACCCTTCCAGCAGGGTCGGCCAAGATCCAGTTTTTAAACAACTTCGTGGCAATCTCTAATACGTGTCAGTTCATTTTTAGTTTTGGCATATTGTCAACAAAAAATTTAAAAAGTTTTTTAGAGTTAAAATGTTTTTAAAAATTGGTAAAACTATAGTTAACGATTTAAACAAAATTTCTGTATTGTTTAAATCATCATTCCATTGTGTTATAAAATAGTTTTAAAGAACAAAAATTGAACAGTAAATAACATATAAAATGGTAAAATGCAAAGTTTTTAAAATTAAATAACAATACTCACTCATTATAATTGTTGTATATACAGAAGATACTAACAACCAATAAAATTTATTAGAAATCATTTTAGTGATTTCAACTTAAAATTTTTATTTGAACAACTAATATACCTTTTCAACATACACATTAATATTAATTGTTAATGTATGTATTTTTGTTATTTGACAAATGTATATTTGTCAATTTAACAAAGGTTTTGAATAGTTTATTCGTGTCCTTTTTAAATTAAAGTATTAATTAATCAATCAAATAGAAGTATTTTCATTATCTTTAGCAATAATACAAAACAAAAAATGTATTTTTTGAATTGAATAAACCATATTACTTTCAAAACAGTTAAACTTATCTTTAGTTAATTTTCTTGATAAAAACGATAATTCATAATACGATAATAATCAATCAAAATAATTATTATCACCCAAATAAAAAACTATTATCAGAGTAACTTTGAATAAGTTTTATTTGCATGTATAATTTACAATTGAAAGGTTTAGTGTACAATTAAATCAACACAAAAATATTATTATATTGTATTTAAAGTAATTTAATAACATTTTGGTGTCTAATATAAATTATCGTTTTATTTTTTTCATTTTATCTATGGTATAAATAATTGTGTTTTGTCATTTTCATTTTGTTTTTTTAAAAATGATAATGTTATTTACCATTTTATTGTTTTTTAAGTTTTTTTCCAATAACATGATAGTTTGGCCGACCCTGCTTCCAGTACCAAAAATTTCCAAAAATGTAAACTTATTTATTTCTTATTCATTTTGAGTGTATATTAGAAAGAAATAATGCAAAAAACGCTTTAAACTTTTTACGACTATGGGAAATACCAGGAAACAAAATTAACAGTAAAAAATTATTAAATTTAGTACAAATTAATAGTAATTTTTAACCTAAAATCGTATTTTTGTTAAAAAAGGTTCACTTTTTCTGTGAGGAAAACTTGACGACTTTTCCTGTTATTATTTTCTAGTTTAAAAAAAATCTTTTTTATTAAAATTGTGTATAGTATAATAAACTATATTTTATAAGTCTTTTCAAAAACAGGGGTTTAAAATAAGAAAAATTATCAAATAAAATTAAGATAAAAAGTTATTTATTGAAAAACAAGGGATAAGTCAAACTTCGAAAATTCCAAAAGTGATTATTTTAATTTAGTTTATATTGTAAATGTTTTGATGTTTTGTAACTAACGTGTAAAAATTTTGACATTTTATTGAATTTTGATATATATAACAAACAATTAAATACTATTATATTAGTTGTGCAACCACACTAATTATTAGCGTTCTCACTTTATAACCTTTTGTTGAGAATCATATGTATATGAGATATAGTTACGATATTATTCTTATAACTATCGTTTAAAAAATCGTTTTCATTACACAAAATAAACCAAATATAT